GTGGGGTCTGCCACGCCTCCTTCTGCCTGTTACATACATTTCAACAAAACCATTATACCCTGATTTCCCATTGAAAATGGGTTCAGGGTATAAAAAAAACAAGTAAGAGGGCTCCAATCGAGAGTGTTCTACCTATTCTGCACTTCTTTTATGAACACATGCATACACACGCACGCATATCACGCGCTCTGCTGTGTAGGCAATATTATGAGAATTTATTTGTTGAATAGCTTCTATTATAAATGGACTATCTTTATGAAGCATAATAATATGGCTAAAATGTGTGTACATTCCAAAGCACAAGTCGCTAGTACTTGTAATACGTTTTTTACAAAAAGTGGGCGAAGGGGGCGTGTTATCCAAAATCTTTAAAATACAAAATCTTTGTATCCAAATTATTATACAACGCAAATTTGAAGTTACCAGGTCTAAAAGTGTTCAAATTAGGCTGAAAATACAAAGTCGATTTATCGACCGTCTGTGCATTCGGCTCCGTATCGGCGTATGGTGTTTTCCTTACTCCGGGCATTTGGATGTACACGGTCGTACACTCTGTCCGCCTAAATATTACGACGTCGTCCAGCCGGGATGCTACGTTTACCGTCGAACAATAAACCGTATGCAAACTGTAAGGCTGCTCCTGTTCCTCGTGTTCGCGGTAATAATCCCTGCCCAACCTGGGATCTCGCTGTCGTCCTCTCGCTTCGTCACGGGGGAACGGCTCCGTATTGTCGCTTGTTCTGACTCTTCTCCCTCGACGTCCATGAACTTCTCATCGCTGCTGATTTCGATCACCTGATCCATCTTCGTGCTCTCCCTTTGGATGTAGAGCCTTCAATTATATGTTTTTGTTTTTGTTAATGACCGAAGCGGCCCTCGAATTATTGCGTTAGGGTTAACGTTAGTAGGGGGTTTCTACGGGGAAGTTAGTAGTCCACGAGACTGGCGGGTCTCGTAGGGCACTCTGTCGTTATGCCCAGGGGACAACGCTGGCCGCGCCTCGTCCACCGTTTCCCCGGCCTCAACTTCCGGGATCGTGTCGACCTCATCCTCTCCGTGATGAAAAGGTTTTAGCTGTGCGATGTTGGCCACCCGTCTCTTGCGTTCGCCTTCCTTCACCAGGGTGGCGATGAACTTGACGACCTTGTAAGGACCGTCAAATTTGGGTGCCAGTTTCGCCGCAAATCCTTCTGCCGCGTTCGACAGTTGATGCTGTCGTAACAGGACTGCCGAGCCCAGCGCTAGCCTCCAGTCGCGCCGGCGCAAGTTGTAGTGTCTGCCTTGATCCTTAGAAGTCCGCTGCAGGTTGCTGCGTACTAAGCCGAAGACCTCTTTCATCCTGCCCTCCTTAGCCTCGGGCTCGATTTCCCTCGTCACCGAACCAGAAGTGGCCTCGTCGTATAACGCGACGGGCAAACGTGGCTTCCGCCCGTTGAATCGGCTACACTGGAATTGACCGCCAGCGTTATCTCGGGCAATAGCTCGTCCCACGAGCTTTGATGGCCCTCGATGTATTGCGCTATCATGGTCTTCACTGTGCGATTCGTCGTCGCCTGCGGCGAGTAAGGCGCCATGTATTGGAGTACCACACCCAAGGACTTCATGAATGACTTGAAACTACTGCTCGTAAAATGTACTCCGTTCTCGAAAACTACCGTCCTGGACACTCCAAATCCGCTTAGGATCCACTCCCGGAACGCCAACTGCAGCAGCGCGGCAGCGGCTCTTCTCAACGGCACCAATTGCGAAGTCCCCGCACAATACCGACATTGGCTCCGCCATCTGCCTGGTCAGCATCTGCCCGGCCAGCTTTTGTTGCACGCTTTTGAGCTTCTGGCACGTCTCGCAGCGCTTCACGTACTTGGTGGCGTCTCGGAACAGGCCCGACCAGAGTACCTCTGTGCCAGCCGTGCCGCCGTCTTTCTCACTCTTTGATGACCGGCCGTGGGAGCATCGTGGCACTCCATCATCACTCTATTCCTCAAACTGCTGGGGACGCACAGCTTCCATGGGATAATATCCTCCTCGTCCATCCGATGACCCAGATTCCGATGTAACTGTCCGTTGTCCTCAACGTAATCCTGGAACTTCTCAGGCTCCCTCGCAATCCTCTCGCGCATCTTCTGGATCCACCCGTAAAGGGGATTGTCTTCCACGGTCTGCTGACAACTGTCTAGGGTTTGCCGGGACAGTGTGTCAGCTACCAGTTCAAGCTCCCTCGGCGATAGCATACGTCAAACTGCTGCAACTCTGGGACTTTCTATGGAGTTGAGCCGCTTCAGCGCCAGGTGATCCGTGACTACGTTGCACCTCGCGCCTTCCACACCGCATCATTCGGATCGCCCAAACGATCGCGAGACACTCCTTCTCCGTGGCCGAGTAGTTCATCTCTGAAAAGTAACTTTCGGTTGACGTAGGCTATCACCCGCTCTTGACCCTCGGCCTCTTGTGTCAGCACCGCACCCAGGCAGTAGTCGCTTGCGTTGGTCTGCAACACAAACTTTGTCGAGAAGTCGGGACAGGCCAAAATAGGTCGTTAACCTCTCCTTGAGTTTCCGCAATGCCTCTTCCTGCTCTTCGCCCCAGATGCACTCGTGATCCTTTTTAAGAAGCCTCGTCATCGGTTGTACCAGCGACGCGAGGTTTGGCACGAAGCGCCTATACCATGATGCCTAAGCACAGCCGCAACTCCTTTAGATTTGAAGGCGATGGGAGGCTCCAAATCGCTTCGACTTTCTCGGGATCGGTGCAAATACTCTCTCCGCTTATCACGTGGCCAAGATACGCCAACTTTTCCCGAACGAAACTGCACTTCTTCCTGTTGAATTTCAATTTGGTCGCCCTCAATCGCTGGAAAACTTCTTTCAGATTGGTTATGTACTGGTTTTTTTGTCGCTCCAATTTTTTGAATGCCGTGAATTCTCTACTATCTGCCGCCATCGGGATCTGCCTATAACCGCTCTTCAGATCCAGCGTGGATATGAATCGTGCGTGTCAGAGCCTCTCCAGAATATGAAGGATCGTCGGAACAGGGTACGCATCCGGGATCGAGTGAGCATTGAGCTGTTGATAATCTACGCACATGCGCCACTTTTTCTTGACCAAGTCTATGGGCGCGCTGTGTGGACTTTTCGACTCAATGGCCCCAGTTCGAAGTAATTCGTCCACCTGCTCATCTATCCCTTTCTGCATAGCCGGATTCTTAGGGCAGTACCTCTGTTTGAGAGGTTTGTCGTCCTTCATCCTGATGCCATGTTCGGCAATGCACGTCACTTCTTCGCGATCTTTGAAGAGTGCCAACTCCGTTTCTAGAAACTCCTTCAGTTCGTCCTCCAACTCATCCTGTTACTCCTTGCTACCGGTCGCGGATCGTACGTTTCCTCTATGTCCCTTTTCTGGCGTTTCTCTCTTCGGCGGGCCGCCTCTGGGCTCACCTTCCTTTTCCAACTCGATTGCTTTTATCTCTGGTGGCGGCACCTCAAATCCTCGCTCTGCTTTGTAGCTCTTGTGGGAGGCCCGGCTCCTTTCTCTGAGCCAATTCCTTGCTTCCTTTCGTTCTATTCATCTTCGCCGTCAAGAGATCCTCCCCGGTCTCCCCCGATGCCTCTCCGGGCTTAACCCCTTCGAGCTTCCTTATGCGAGCCAATCCTGCTCTCTGGATTGACTGCTCCTTTCTTGCGCGTCTTGCCTATTCATCGACGACGCTTCTCCACCGTGTCCTCTACCGTGTCCTCTACCGTGTCCTCCAAGTCGTAGTACTCGCCTCGTATCGTCTGTTGGCACATTCAGTCCTCGCTTACGAAACTGCGCGTGGCCCCAGTGTTGATCGTGGCGGTCATCTTTTGACCCCCGATCACCACCGTCGCGACGATCTTGCCCTCATCCACTCTGAGCGGATACCTTTCTTCTTCCTTGTCGGCGCCGCTCCGCTCCTGTGGAGGGCGCATTGTCCATTTTCCGCGCTGCTCTGCTTGCAGCACTCCTTCGTGCTCCTGCCTCGCTGTCCACAGCGCCAGCAGAATATCACTGGCGCATTGCGACACTCTCGTACGAAGTGTCCGGCTTGCGCGCATCTGAAGCATACTCGCCGCTGGCCCGGCCCGGATCCAGTGTCTTAAGTCATCATCCAACTCGTCGCCTCCATTGGCGATGCAGCCACTGGCGTGATCGTCTGACCCGCGGCCTGTCCTCCAAACCGGGAGTGTGGCGCCT